GCCCCTTACTACTGATTGGCTACAAGTTTGTTTTGCTAGTTGGCCTGAATCAGTTTTCTAAAAGCGTTTTTGAGAAATCGCTTACCCCACCTTTAAATGTATTCTTTAACATTTTGCATCTTCAGGGGATTTGATGGTACTAGACAATATTCACCTATAAATTATTATACAATTTATTTCTATATAAAAAATTTTGGGGGGAAATTAACATATTATTCTATTATATGTTATGTATTCTATATACCATATGTAATGCCTGTTTGCATGACTGATAAGTCGATTTAATTTAGTTAATGTGTTAATTTAATTACATTTAATTAATGTAGATATAATTAGATATGTTTTGGCAGTTGCATATTGTTGACAATGTCTTGGATGAATACATTCGATTTTTCCAGTCAAACCAAAGAGAGCATTGAGGGACTTTTGAATGCTGCCCAAGTTGGAAAATATGAGTGGGACAGCCTGGTACTCTCACTGAACACATCTCAGTGTCATTACAACTGCTGGACAATGCACAATGCAGATATACACACTTACACAAAAACACACACCCAAGTGAATAAAACTAAACAAAAGCCTCGGAGATCACAAAAACACACACATAATGTGCATAACAGTGCATTAGTGCATAATGTTAAAACCTTACATTTGATTCTGTTTGATTATTCACAGCATGAACATTAAGACACTGAGCTTAGTAAGCACTGCAGTATAGTGACAAATTCTGATTTACTTCTAAACAAGTAAACCATCCTTCACAATCGTAATGATTTGTTTATCTAAGACAGGGGTCTTCAACTCGTTGCTTGTGCGCTGATTGGAGGTAGCTGGTCAAGATATAGGCCTACTTTTCATCCAATCAGAGTGAGCTAATAGAGCTAATATAACCACATATCGACCATGACGTTATTTTAATTATCCCTTTCGTATTTTAATGATCATTTGACCCATGTTTGATTGATATTACTGCTCAGCGTTAAGCAAAGTTAGTAAGAGTTTCAAGCAGGCAAGCAAGCATTCAGCCTGTATGCCTTTTTTGTTCAAACCTATACAAATACCAGCCCAAACTTTTGTTGCAAATATTAACCGGTGGATGGAAAATAGTCTACCATGTTATCCGAAGTGTTGAGAGTTTTAGAATACATATTATCTTATGTAGAACTGTTTAAGGAACAAATAAAATATAATTTAACATCCTTTTCATAAAAAAGCTGAAAGGCTGAAAAAAGGCTGATTAAAGGCTGAAATGTCTGAAATGTGAGGTTTATCATTTTATAAATCTTTTTTTTGTGTTATTAAAAAACTTTATTTGAACATATAGTAGGCTACATGTCAGTAAATAACATGTTATGAATATTTTTTGTTATTTCAAATCTGGCCATTGTTTTTAATGTTTTTATTTCAGTGTTTATGCAAACAAAAAGTGCATATAGTGGTGCTAATTTTATTTGTTGGTTTTCGGCATAAAACTTGGTAAAATGATTTCAGTGTGTATAATTTTTTAACATGTCCAGCACATTTTAAGACTACCGTGTAGGCTATAACAGTTTGGATCGATACGTTATTTAAGAAATATATGTATTGTATACCATGGGTAGCTCTCAGCCACATTAATTTTTAAAAAGTAGCTCTGAGAACCCTGAGATAAGATATTAAAGTCAATATCAAGGAGTCATTCAAGGTTCGGCTGGTTAATTTAGACAGGAAATGGCAGGTTTTAAAGCAGTACCCTCTCCTGGTAGATGCCGTAACTACACCATCAAGGTTTGTGTTGTTCATTAAAGTCCCCCTGCTGTCACTTTATCCCTTAAAACACATATAATCAAAATTACATACAATAGGTGCAATAGGTAATTGTCTTCAGAAAAGGTTTTGGTTGAAAATCTCTTCACATCCTGATAGCAATCATTAAGTTAAGTGGTCTAAATGTATTTATCTGTATTTATATATTCTGTGGAAGGCGTAGGACCAAGAAATGTTCGTCCAATCAAAACGCTCTGTTCGAGCGTTTTAAATGGCTTTCCTACCTGCCTGTCAACTTATGTATTAGCATACCTCTGGGCACCCAGTTCGCACAGACAGGATATGTCATCAGCGCGTTCACGCACGCTGTGCAGACAGAGTGAGAATGGCAGACAAACGTCAACAACCCGATCTTCCTTCCTTTCTTCCTTCCCTCCCTCCTATCCGATCGATATGATCCCTGAACAGTGTTCATTGCTCCCTACTCCCTGAGCCGGGGAAATCTGTTGAAGTTTACTTCACTTCTGAACATGGGGTGGAATTGAGAAAGGCTGATGTAGCCTATTGTAATAATGTTGTCTCTGGTATTCTGGTCTGTGAGCATATATGCGTTCAGGGGGCGTGGCTTTAGATGGCGGGTTGCAGGGAGGGTGGGACGATCGCTTTCAATGCTATCAGGCTAAAGTTAGCATTTTCCAAAATCTCCTACTGCACCTTTAATAGTTTTTTTTTTTTACAATTAACAGTGTAAATTATTGCTCGCTTAAATATAACTCTACAAAGCATATGAAAAACACCAGATACACATGTCACTGCTGAGAAAAAAAAACTGGCTGACTGGTTTTAGCTGGTGTTTGCAGGCTGGTTTTAGTGGGATTTTGACCACTTCTTTAGCTGGACAGCAAAAAAAACAAACAACACTCCCATACTTCACGTTGGAACCAACTAAGACCAGCCAACCATCTTAGGTTGGTTTTAGATTTGTTTTCCCCAGCAGGATTAAAAACATGATTTTCACCACAGGATTTCTTTAAAACTCAAAAAGAGAGTAACAAATAAAAACAGATGTACATTTGCAGTTTAAAGTCTATTTCATTTTATTTTATTTTTGCAAAGATTGACATTAAAATTCAAAATCAAAGCATGTCTGCTATAGTCAGAAATTTGGAGACTTTAGAAATATGTGATGGACAGACATGAGATATTGAAAATCGTTAGTTTTAATCCTAGTCTTTAGTTAAGATCGGCAAGAGGAACAGATGAAACTGAGAAAAGTATCGCAGTGTGCATCATTCCAGAGTTGCTCATCTGTGGAAATTCAGTTACGTTATTCAGGAAATGAACTGTCAAATATGGAAGCCATAAATATAAATGTGTAATAAAATGTGCAAGGTTTGAAACCTTTACATGTTTTATACTAAATAAAAATGTTGTTAAATAGCTTTAAATATATGGAAAACATGTATATATTACCTCCATAGCCCATCTCCACGCAATTTTCATTTCCTTCTCCATTTGGCTCACCAGTATGCCAGTCACTGTACTCAAACTTTGATCCATCACTCCAAAACCAGACATAAACCTAAAAACATTACATTAGTATTACCAAACTTGTTGCTGTTTCCACCTGTTGATGCTTCTCATTTTATTTTCCTTTTTATCTTAAATGGGAACTCTGGTATGTTTAAATAAACATTAAACTTCAATTTGAGTGTGAAACTTCAACTGGTGTTTGTTGGGGCAGTGCAAACCAGCTTTTACAAAATGTGAAAGAGCACAAGCAACATATCTGACAAAAGAAAACAATTTTTACTTTCAACAACATTTACTGTTCATTTTCAATTATACTTTGTTTTACATTAATCTGCCACTGGTTGGATTGATATTTAATGGAAATGAAAAATGAGTTACCTTAGTTGCATCATGAGCACCAATCCAGGTTCGGGGGATTCCATTAACATATTTTTTCAGAAAGGTCTTTAGGAAATTGTGAGTGAGTTGATTGTGGATAGATGCAAGGTTTCCTCCGAGGTCAACACATTGTTTCTGTCAGGATAAAGAGTTATTTAGGTGCAATGCAATTCATTCGTAATGAAGTCTGATAAAAAAAAAGGCTAAGATTCTTGAAAGTAAAGTGGAGCATAAAAAGTTTTTCATAATCTTTGAAAAATGCATGGCATAACAAACAGACAGGATTTTGTTTGATCATTAAACACTTGACAACTTTACAAAACAAAACACCCTTGACCATGTAAAAACTAAACAATTTTTGTAGAACTCAATTATGAAATGAACATGAACACACTGTCTTTTTTTTCCTTTAGAACTTGAACCTGTCTATATTTTTTAGCTTTACAATAGTGTAAAATGCACGTTTAAGTACGGTATGATTAATTACACAATTTGGGGTTTGCTCCTAATCATGTAGCATCTATAGAGAACACAAACTTACTTCTGCCTCAGCCCATGGTTTCAAGTCACTGAAAAATTTAAAACATTTTGTTCCAAATTTCTCCCAGCCAGTGGGGCATTTTCGACCAATGCTGAAAGAATCTGCAAAAAAGATG